GCAAAGTTGGAGCAAATTTGGATTATCCTATCTCTCTCTGTGCAGTAAAAAATTTTCTTTGACCTTTTGTGGGGGAGGTACCAGAGGGAGTGGACCGATATTGTCCATCTCTGAACTCGATCTAAGTTTGATAATAATATTACGATGAGCCAAGTTTGGACCAAACCGGATACTACCTTCGAGAGTTATCGTGCGCACCAGGCAGACGGACGGACATGGCTATATTGACTCCAAATGTCCTAAAACGGATTTGGTTCAAAGAGACCTAGAGTCTTAAGCCGTTATTTTGATGAAGCACGTTTTGGCTGTATCAAATGACATATACCTTCTCTAGCCATATGGCTGAGGGTATAAAAATGTTATCAATTAGGTAATGTATATTTTTATTTCATTTAAATTATTTTTTTCCAATCTAAAAAAAGATGAATTAATTTTTTTAATTTAAAAAAAATTTAATTTTTTTCAATTAAACTACTTTCTTTTCAATAAAAAAAAAATGTTCCCCAAATTCGGATTTTTAGAAATATTTTTCTCAATTATCCAGCAAATAAGGATTTTTAAAATATTTTCCCTCAAAATAGTATATTATATAAAAATAATATCAATATATAGAGTTCTCCATAAATTTTTATAGGACCTAGACAAAGCGCAGATTTTTTTCAAATACACAGACTAAAAAATTATATAAAAATATTTTTTCAAGTACCCAGAAAAAACGTGATTTTTTTTTAAGAACATTTTTTTTTCAACAATATTAAAAAAAAAAAAATTTTAAAAATATTTGTTTGAAGTACTCCACAAATACGGATTTTTTTGAAAAAAAAACTGTTTTTAAATACTTAACAAACCTGGATATTTAAAAAAATATTTTTTTCGGGCACATTACAAACTTGAATTTTATTTAAAAAACATTTATTAAGTACTCAAAAAACTTGAATTTGTTATAACATACAACAAAACACTCAACAAAACTTAGATTTTTTTCAATTTTTTTCAATTTTCCTTTCAATGTGGATTTTTTAAAAATATTTTTTTCAATTATTCAGCAAACGTTGATTTGTTAAAAATACTTTTTTCAATAACCCAGTAAAAGTGGATTTTTTATATTTTTTTTCAATTTCTTCTTAAACCTGGATTTTTTAAAAATATTTTTTTTATTTTCCTTAAATGTGAATATTTTAAAAAATATTTTTCTCAATTACCCAGCAAACGTGGATTTTTTAAAAATATTTTTTTCAATTACCCAGCAAACGTGGATTTTTTGAAAATATTTTTCTGAATTACCCAGCAAACGTGGATTTTTTAAAAATATTTTTCTCAATTACCCAGCAAACGTGGATTTTTTAAAAATATTTTTTTCAATTACCCAACAAACGTGGATTTTTTAAAAATATTTTTCTCAATTACCCAGCAATCGTGGATTTTTTAAAAATATTTTTTGTTTGGAATATTTTTTGTTTTTTTTTTTGTTTTTTTTTTTGGAAAAGTTACAAGTTTGTGCCTTAAGTCTTTTGATAATGTCTGCTCTCTGCCTTCTTGTAAGACATTTGAAACTCTTCTGTAATATATCTCTTCTAGAAGAGAAATATTTTACAAATAATTACCTCTCAGAGAATCCTGTATTGAATTCCCTCATTGATGTTTGTGTCTTAAGTCGTTTGATTGCTTACCTTTTTTCTCATTGCACGACAACTCAGTTGTGTTCTCTTTTAATTAGAACTGTTCTCATTGATGTGGAGAGAACTGCAGTGGGGGGTTTTCTCTTAAATCAAAGAAAAATGTAAAGAAATTCATAATTTTCATTAGTACAATATTTTTTCCTAACTAAAATAAATGTCACCATAAAAAGAGTTCATAAAATCTACATGAAAATTATGTGAGGTGTTGTTTTTTTATTTTCCCAAAAAAAGAGAAAGTTTTTGTTGATTTTCTCACTAACTTGATGTGCAATCCTTTAATGTTTACATTTTTTTTATAGCTGAATGTCTTCTTTTTTAATGAACCAGGAAATTGCATGGCATTCTTCATTTCATTTTGCTTTTTTTAACAAATCAATAAACAGTGTTTCAAATGGCAAACTTTACCTTGTCACCAGTCGAGGAAAAAAGCAGGAACCAATAATTTCATGACCAGTTTTGTTTGTTGTTGTTGTTGTTTTTCCTCACACTTGTTTGTTATGACAAATTGTTGTGAAAAATTGCAAACTCCCCTTGTGTTTGATTTTTATTTTTTTATTTTTAGCCATGGCTTTCTTTGACAGGTTGTTAATGTTGGCCATAACGGGGTGGGCCATAATCTTCATTTCCTGTCCGACCAACCATCCAACCATTTCATTATACAAATATTTCTAATTACTTAACCGAAACAAGTTTTTGTTTGAAGCTCTTTGAAGCTTAAATTTTCGCTATCGATGGCAATGGTGGCCATAAACTTTAACAAAATATTTCAGCAAAAAATATTTTTTTTTTCTTAAAAAAAAATGTTATCAAAGACAAAAAATGAAAATGTAAGTGAGGAGATTACAAAAACTGAAATGAAAAACAGCCATGCCTAAGCACTTTTAAATTCCAAAAAAATCACTTTAAAATTCAATTTTATTTTCCTGTGGAGAAAAACCAATTTTAAATTTTCCTTATGCTTGGTCAAATGGCTTTTAAAACAAGAAAAACACTTGTTTGCCTCAAAAAATGCTGTTGTCTTTTTTAGGTTTTTCTCTGGCTTTATGCTGCCTTAAAGCAAAGACCAACTAAAACAATCAATTAAAATCAAAAAAAAAAAAAAAAAAACAAACCATAAACCTCAAAACACCACCAACAGCAATCCACCAAACCCACATAGCAAAAGATTTCAACATCAGCCTGCATATTTTTCCAAAGTATTTTTTTTTTTTGCATGGGGGCCTAAGTGTTTTTTCCTTTGGTTATGGAAAACCAGTTTTAATTTGCAATTTTCAAAGAGAAAAAATTAAAAAAAAAATTGGGAAGTTCGAAAATATTTGATAATTTTTTTTACTGAAAAATATAAAAAGGAATTGATTTGAGAATTGAAAAAATTTTTTGAATAACAAAAATCGAGATGAAAATATCTGCAGCAAAGTCAAACGCCAAAATTTTTGCATTTTTTGTTTTTTTTTTTAAATTCAATGAAATTTTAAAAACAAGAAATGTAAAAATTATGGCCTTTAAAGCAAACAAATGTCGGAAATTCGAAAATATTTTATTATTATTTTAATGAAAAATAAAAAATGGAATTGATTTGAGAATTGAAAAAAAATGTTGAGCAACAAAAGTCGAGTACAGGGTGAGTTAAAAAATTTGCAACAAAATCAAACGCCAACATTCTTACATTTTTTGTTTTTTTTTTTTTAAATTCAATGAAATTTTAAAAACAAAAAATTTAAAAATTATGGCCTTTATGGCGAAATTTTTCAAAAATATTTTTTTTTAATCTTCAAAAAAAAGGTGGAGGTTTTCAAAATATTTTTTTCAAGTACTCAATATATTAGGACTTTTTAAAAATAATTTTTTTAAAGGACCCAGATGAAATGGGGATTTTTTAAAAATATTTTTTATGTCCAAAAATGTGAAATTTTTCAAAGATATTTTTTGAATCTCCAAAAAAGGTGGAGGTTTTTAAAATATTTTTTTTAAGTTCTCAACTTATATGGACTATATAAAAATAATTTTTTAAGTACCTAGACGAAACGGGGATTTTTTAAAAATATTTTAGTTTTTAAAGTAAAAATGCGGAATTTTTTAAAAATACTTTTTTAAACTTTGAGGTTGAGGATTTCAAAATATTTTTTTCAAGTTCTCAATTTATTTGGACTTTTTAAAAATAATTTTTTAAATACCTAGACAAAACGGGGATTTTTAAAAAATATTTTTTTACAGTTCAAAAAAGCGGAATTTTTCAAAAAAAAAATTAAATCCCTAAAAAAAGTTGGAGGTTTTCAAAATATTTTTTTCAAGTTCTCAATTTATTTGGACTTTTTAAAAATAATTTTTTAAGTACCTAGACGAAACGGGGATTTTTAAAAAATATTTTTTTAAGTCCAAAGATGTGGAATTTTTCAAAAATATTTTTTTTTTGAATCTTCAAAAAAGGTGGAGGTTTTCAAATTATTTTTTTTTTTAATTTCTCAACTTATTTGGAATTTTTGAAAATATTTTTTTAAAGTACCCAGACGAAATTTGGACTATTTTTAAATATAGTTTTTTAATGTCCAAAAAACTGAAGTTTTTTCAAAAATATTTTTTTCAATCTCCAAAAAATGGTGGAGGTTTTGAAATATTTTTTTCAAGTACACAACCTATTTGGTGTTTTTAAAAACATTTTTTTTAAAGAACCCCGACAAATCGGGGATTTGGTAAATTTTTTTTTCAAGTTCTTTATAAAAAATTTATTTAATTATTAATTTTAATTAATTAATTATTAATTTTTAATATTAAAAATGATTAATTTTAATAATTTCCATTAAAACATTTTTCCCATTTCCACAATATCGCTACCCACGCTGTCATTGTTGGTTAACGGCATTGCTCTCATTTTTTTCTCCCAAAATCAAAGTCACCTCTCAATGTGTGTAAACATTGCTGTAAACGAAAGACTTAGACAACAAACTCGATGAATTCTCAAACGACTCTATGGCGGCGACTAATATTCCAAAAACAAAATTATTTGTTTGTTTATGAATTACAATATCCTCAGCATGTTTTCCATTGGCATGCCAACATGCGAATATTTCGGTCCAGCATCCGTCGTCGACAAGTGGCGGAATATAAAATAGACGAATTTATTGCCAATCAATTGCTAACCGAGAAAAATTGAGAGCAATCGTTGTCGTTGAATTCAATGAAATTTGTTGGGGAAATATGTAAGATCATTTAATTAAATTATTTTTGTGTTAAATTATTATTGACAAGACAAGAATTGTGACATGGAAAAAATATTCGAATTAAATTTTTAATAAATTTTCCAATTTTTTTTCTTATTTGCAGATTGTGGGCTTATGGAATGTGTGGTAAGTACAAAGTTCATTACACAACAAAAACAGCACCAGGGGAATGGGGTACACAGAAATTTCAGGGGAAAGATAGTTAACACTAATCTTCCAGTATTTTCAAGATTTCATACAATATTTCAATTTTTTGTGGTCATAAAAATAATATTCAGGAAAGTTTGTAATAAAAAAATTTGGTCAATTTTGGGACTTTTTCTCATTTTGGGCCAAATTGTCCCACAAATCATCACTTTGGGCCTATGGTGTTAAAGGAAAAAATATTCTCCGCCAAATTTCACTATAAGTTGCTGACAACGACATATCACCAGATAAAACATGGGTTCAGAAAAAAACTAGCCTCAAATGTTGGTATTCTCTTTTTTATAACTTTTTTAGCTTTGGGCCAATTTGACCCAAAAATCGACAGTTTAGATATATAGTGTTAATGGAAAAATACTCTCCATAAAATTTCACTATGAGTCGATGAAGACGAAATGTCTCTAGACATCACCTGAGTCCATAAAAATTAACCTCAAATTTTGGGCCAACATTTTTTTTTTGGGAGAATTTTTTATACTTTTTAAAATGGGCCCAGAATATCAAGAAAACTCTATTTTAAGTAGGTGGTACTAAGGCAGAAAATATTCCCCATAAAATTTCACTATGGGTTACTTCAGGAAGAAAATATGTGGATATATCAGATATTTTTGTAACTTAGGTGTATAACAAAGAAAATAAAAAATGTGGGTTAGTTTTGGACATTTTTCGATTTTGGGTCAATTTCTCCTATTATATGGAGGTTTAGGGCGTTGTGTCTAAAGGAAGAAGTATTCTTCACTAAATTACACTACAGGTCACTGAAGAAGACTTACCTCTAAATGTAGCACAAGTCCTTAAAAATTAACCTTTAATTTTGGTATAAGAATTTTTTGGGCAAATTTTATATAATTTCACAATTTGGTCGAAATTCCAAGAAATTCTATTTTAGGCGGATGAGGCTAAGGGAAAAAATATTCCTCATAAAATTTCACTATGGGTTACCTCAGAACGGAATTATATGAATTTATCAGATACCTTTAAAAATAGACGTAAAACAAAGAAAATAAAAAAGTGGGTTAATTTTGGGATTTTTTTGATTTTGGGCTAATTTTTCCCACTATATGGGGATTTTGGGCCAATTTTTCCCATTATATGGGGATTTAGGGCGTTGATTCTAAAGGAAGAAGTGTTCTTCATTAAATTGCACTTTAGGTTACTGAAGAAACCTTATCTCTAAATTATCACAAGTCCTTAAAAATTAACCATAAATTTTGGTATAAAAATTTTTTGGGCCAATTTCATATAATTCCATAAATTCATCCAAAATGCAAAGAAATCCTTATTTTAGGCATATGAAACTAATAGAAAAAAAATTCCCTATAAAATTTCACTTTGGGTTACCTCTGGATGGAATAATGTTAATTCATCAGATACCTTTGTAATGTATGCGTAAAACAAAGAATCTAAAAAAGGTGGGTTAATTTTGGACATTTTTTGATTTTGGCTCAATTTCTCCTATTCTATAAAACTTGAGGGAGTTACTTCTAAAGGAAAAAGTGTTCTTCATTAAATTACTCTATAGGTTACAGAAGAAGACTTATCTCTAAATATAACACAAGTCCATAAAATTTGACCTCTAATTTTGGTATAAGTCTTTTTTTTTGGTCAAATTTCATATAACTCCACAAATTGGTCCAAAAAACCAAGAAAACTTTATTTTAGGTAGATAAGGCCAAGGAAGAAAATATTCCTCATAAAATTTCACTATGGGTTACCTCAGGACGGACTTATGTGGATTTATCAAATACCTTTGTAATGTAGGCGTATACCAAAGAAAATAAGAAATGTGGATTAATTTTGGACATTTTTTGATTTTGGGTCAATTTCTTTCATTATATGGTGGTTTAGGGAGTTACTTCTAAAGAAAGAATTTTTCTTCACTAAATTTCACCATAGGTCACTGAAGCAAACTTACCTCTGAATATAACACAAGTCCTTAAAAATTAACCTTAAATTTTGGTATTAGAAATTTTTAACCTTAAATTTTGGTAAAAGAATTTTTTGGGCCAATTTCATATAATTCCATAAATTGGTCAAAAATACCAAGAAAACTTTATTTTAGGTGGATGAGACCAAGGGCGAAAATATTCCTCATCAAAGTTCACTGTAGGTTACTGAATATCAAAAATCTGCAGATATGTCAGATATTTTTGAAATATCACTTGCAATTGAGGTATATAACAAAGAATTAAAAATTGTGGATTCATTTTGGACATTTTTTGATTTTGGGCCAATCTCTCATTATATGGAAATCTAGGGCTTAGTTTCTAAAGGAAGAAGTATTTTTCACTAAATTCCACTTTAGTTTACTAAAGAGAACTTATCTTTAAATATAACACAAGTCCTTAAAAATTAACCTTAAATTTTGGTATACGATTTTTTTTGGCAAATTTCATGTAATTCCACAAATTGGTCCAAAATACCAAGAAAACTCTATTTTAGGCGGATGAGGCTAAGGGAGAAAATATTCCTCATCAAATTTCACTGTAGGTTATTTAATATTAAAAATCTGCAGATATGTTAGATATCTTTGAAATACCAGTCGCAATTTAGGTGTATAACAAAAAAAAAAAAATAAGGATTAATTTTGGTCCTTTTTCGATTTTGTGGCAATTTTGCCCATTATATGGACTTTTTGGTAAAATCATCTAAAAGAAAAGATATTCTGCACTAAATTTGGCTGTGGGTCGTAGAAGGTTACTAAACTCTAAATATGTTCTAAGACCCTAAATATTGTACACACATATTTTTAATTAATGATTGGGCAAATTTCATTAAATTGCCAAAATTGGTCCAAAATGCTAAGAAAACTTTACTTTAGGCGTATGATGCTAATGAAAGAAATTTTCCTCATAAAATTTCACTATGAGTCACCAAACACAATAAATCTGTAAATGTAAACGATATCCTTGAAATATATGAAGAAATTTAGGGTTTCAGTGAAGAACGTGAATACTCTTTGTTAATTTTGGGCATTTTGTCAATTCGGGGCCAATCTGCCCCACTTTATGGTATTTTGGCGTATTTCTTCTAGAGGAAAAAATACTCTATATAAAATTTCACTATGAGTCGCTGAAGAAGGCTAGCTCTAAATATAGCACAAGTCCCTAAAAATTAACCTCAAAAATTTGGCATAAACATTTTCAGGTCAAATTTCATTTAATTCCCTAAATTGACCCAAAATTCCAAGAAGTTCTCATTTTAGATGGCTGGTGTCAATGGCAAAAATATTCCTTTTTAAATTTCACTGTGGGTTGCCAAACACAAGAAAACTGTAATTCTATGTTAGATATTTGAACATTCAGTGGAAATATTGTGTTATCTGTGGAAACGTTGTTTAATTTTGGGTATTTCTTGATTTGGTCGTAATTTCGCCCCTTATTTGAAAGTTTTGGTTGGTGCTTCCAAGAGAAAATATGTTCCTCACCAGATTTCACTATGAGTCCCTAAAGAAGACTTGTCTCTAAATATAGCCTAAGTCTCTAAAATCTGTTATCCAATTTTGGTATACAAATTTTTGGTCAATTTTCATGTAATATCCCAAATTGACCCAAAACTCGCAGAAAACTTAATTTTCAGGGCATGATGTCAATGGAAAAAATATTCTTCACCAAATTTCACTATGTGTTTTCAACTACAAGAGGTCTTTAAATGGCTGTTTACATTTTGTAAAATTGGAGATATTTTAGGGTTTAAAGGAGCAAATTAACACTGTTGGTTTATTTTGGTCCTTCCTCGATTTGGTGGCTATTTCGCGCATTATTTGAAAGTTTTGGTAGATGCTTCCAAGAGAAAATATAATCCTCAACATATTTCACCATGAGGCCCTAAAGATGACTAGTCTCTAAAAATTGTCCCCCAATTTTGGTATAACATTTTTTGGGTCAAATTTCATGTTACTCCTCAAATCGACCCAAAACCCCCAGAAAACATAATTTTCGGTCAATGATGTCAATGGAAAAAATATTCTTTATCAAATTTTACCATGTGTTTTCAACTACAAGAGATCCTTAAAGGAGTGTTTGCATTTTGTACTATTAGAGGTATTTTAGGGTTTAAAGAAGCAACTTAAAATTATTGGTTTCTTTGTGTCCCACCTCGATTTGGTGATTATTTCGCCCAATATTTGAAAGTTTTTGTAGATGCTTCCAAAAGAGAAAATCTTCTCCACCAAATTTCACTATAAGCTCCCAAATAAAACTAGTCTCTAAATATAGCCTGAGTCCCTAAAATGTATCCTCCAATTTTGGTATATTTTTTTTTTTTTGGTCAATTTTCATGTAATTCCCCAAATCGACCCAAATCGTGAATAAAACGTAATTTTCTGGCCATGATGTCAATGGAAAAAATATTCTTCATCAAATTTCACAAAAGGTTGCCGACCAACCCTAATCTGTTCGCATAATATCTAGCTTGGAAATAATTGCCCCAATTTGTCAAATTATCTAAAAGATCATGGCTCCAATAGAATGAAATAGAATAATTAACAAATTAAATTTTTATTAGCCACAATTTTAAAGTAATTTAAGACTTTTTCTGAGATTATCACTAAGGCCAGCCAAGGCAAAATGGTGAAAAAATAATAAAAATAGAAAAACATGTAGTTTTAACATCATTCCAAACAAAAGACTTAAGACACAAACATTTGCGTGCCCACGAAATAAAAAAAAAACCCGACAACTGAAACTCCGAAAAACCTTGGCAATCTACACCAAACTAAAACATGGCTAAAAGAAAGAAATTAAAAAGTAATAAAAATAAATTTGTTGTTTTGTTGTTGTTGTTATGCCATTATAAAAACGTCACAAGTTATGGAGGTAGCAAAAGCAAGAGATGCTTGGAAAAAATCTAAACTAGGAAATAATTGGGATGAGATTAAATTGCAGAGTGGCTTGAGTTATTTAAAAAGAGAAAGAGAGAGA